TTTTCAAAACTGGAGTTCAAGTTATTTTTACTTCCAATAGTGTTAACATACTACACAGGTCATGAACAAAAGTTTTTTAAATTTTCATTGTAAGTGGGCTAAAGCAGTTAATTAAAAGTAGTCTAACATAAATGAAAATGATGTCATTTGATTATTTTAATAAACCATGTAACTTGGATGGATTCGATGCTGGTGTGACCACAGTGCACACGTCTGATGTTGCTCAGAGTGGTCCAAGTGATCACTCAGGGAGTTTGTGTGTTCGCTCACACACATGAAAAATTAGAGGGAACATTGCTATCAACACAATTTAAAAACTGGTATAAAGCCCACACTTTTTCCATCAATTGTTCCGTCTGTCCTCCTCACATCTCCAATGGTTGTACACGTTGTCATTAATGTGGCTTCCACATCAGCCATGCAGCTGTGCTAGCTAAAACATGTGGATTAGCTCCGTATGTGAATCGCATTATTGGCTGGACTATGGGATAAGGCAGCATCACTCTAATCCCATACGGGAGCAGCCAGTCACTTACTAACATTACAAAACAGAGTTGTTAAAGTTTTAATTTTAATTTTAATTCAGGTTAGATTTTTTTTTGTGCGCAACGCAGATTTTCTGTGTGCAGATACCGTGCCAGCAGTGTGCAATTGTGCACATGCGCAGCTTAGAGGGAACATTGGCTGTCGTCAAACTTTATTATATTCCATATAAATATTTAATTTGCAGGTAAATATGTCTTCTTCTCCTCATACACATAAGTATGCAAACAACATTTGATGTGAAACTCCATGTATATAAAACACTATATAAATTTAACGTGTCTTTCTTTCATATTTCCTTGCAAAGAAGACTTTTGTAAACTCTGCATTTGACATAATGAATACTGATGTGTAGTTTCAATTCTGGGGTGGTGTACTTCATGTTATGCAGAAGGATGTGGTGTAGGGTTACAATGGGATTCTGGTTACTAACACAGAAGTATAATTCACATGTGAGAGGAATGTACCACATACTCTATCTCTAATGTTATTCTTCTTTACAAGTGATCTATTTCCACGGACTCTAGCACAGATGAATTCTTCATGAACAACTCTCTACAGATCCAAAAA